ATCTTTGAGAGTACATGAATACCTTATTTTCAATAAAATGTGTTTTATGCTTAATATAGGAACCATTATAATACATGAAAGCATTATTTTTAAATATTCCAATAAAATCTAACTACTATGCAATCTGAAAGTACCTGCTAAATGAATAATTCTACCACATTATTCAGTATAAGTTTTAGTTCTCTGTTATCTAATATCATAAGTTGGTATGGTTTGCCACCGCCGCTATATAAACAACAGTATAAGAAACGAAGACAACAATATGTCGTGTTTTTAAAGCTAACAACAACAAGTGGTGGCACAACAACAAGAATCTGAAGCAGTAGTTCAAAAGATTTGCAAACTGCAACAGAGCACGCAACACAATCAGCCATATACAAATTAAAGGAATGTTATAACTTTGATATAGCTGATTTCAACTTGGAAGGCATTCAGAGAGAAAGGAAAGAACGACGCATAGCAGACATCAACCGAGTTAAAGAGGAAATGAATTTCGAGACTTTGAAGCACAATTATATGGATGTGTGTTGGGAGAATAAAGCCCTAAAAGAAGAGCTACGTAAAGCCAAAAATTTAGGCGATGTTTTAAACTAGGGAGTTATATAAACATATTTTGAATTACTCCTATCAGTATTTTAATAATTTTTGTATAATAACATTCAAAAATATATCTTGCAATTAAAAATTTCTGAAGTAAAATGAACATGTTTTGAATTACTTATTTCAATATATTATAATAATTATTGTATCATAACAATTTTAAATATACCTTGCAAAGTAATTTTTCACAGACAGATTTAACGTTTCAACAAAGTCTTTTTACTATAAGGAAAAACAGATGGAAAAACAAGATCAAGCAAGGTATAGAAGGCTAATGCGAAGATTCATCCTTATACAAAGGAGAAACAAGGCTGGAAACAACAACCCATCCAGTAGAAATGCTAGATTTGCCCAACCACAATGTATGCCAATTCTTTGGCCACAATATACACTTACCTCATTGATGAATGCAGTGCAACGAGCACACCAACCACAAACAACCAGAGGTTGGTAACTCCAATTTATTTAAAAAGATAAATGATTTTTTAAGGACTTATTCCTGTTGCTTACCTTATAAAAAAACAATTAAAGGAGAAACAAGTGCACCAACCAATACACAATTATCTGGTAGTGCTTCAAGGCGGCGTACAAGAATTGAAGACATACAACCCACACCCACATCTAGGCGCAGAATGAATTCAGTATCGCCAATGAGGCCTACCATTGAAAATGGAGAATCTAACTCCATACCTACCCAACCCAACTTAACAAGAGGTAATATGATTTTATATCCTCTATTTTACCAAATTAAAAACCAATAATTGTTACATATGTATATTCAACACTGTTTTCTATGACAGTGGTCAGCAATAACTCAACAACCGACCAAAGGGCATCTTCAACACCACTTACACTTCATCAAAGTAAGTTTATATATAGCTCATTTATATAAAAACCTACAATAAAACACTATCAACCTAACTAATTCACTCATATATGACTTCTTACAAGGAAAATTCACAAAACCCTGGAACTTTGGTGGCCCAAAAAACATGTGTCGAGATTGCTGTGCGAAGGTTTGGATAGAGGAAAGAGTTAAAAGAGAAAAAAAAAGTTGATTATCCAAAATACAGCATATGCTGTCAAAAAGGAAAGGTCATACTCCCACTGCTTGCAAAACCACCTGACTACTTAAAGTCACTTCTCGATCCAAATAATGGGTCACACTCAACAAAGTTCAAGGAATGCATTAGAACTTACAATTCTATATTTGTATTCACGTCAATGGGAGGCAAAGTGGACAACACTATTAATAGGGGAAGAGGTCCTTATATATTCAGAATCCATGGTCAAAATTACCACAAGATTGGATCTTTGTTACCACCTGATGGGAAGAAACCTAGATTCACCCAACTCTATGTGCACGACACTGGTAATGAAGTTCATAATAGAATTAACTCACGACCTTGACCCTGAAATAGTTGATGGACTTTCCAAAATGTTATCCGAGAACAATCAACTAGCAAAAGTGTTCAAAATGGCCAGGGAACGATTATCAAATGTTGAAATGCACCTTGTTTCAGTTCGCCTGATTGGCACACATTCAAAGGATGGTAGACAATACAATCTACTGTCTAGAAATGAACTTGCAACTTTGATTGTAGGAAATGGAGAAAGTGAAGGAGGACAACAGGATGTCATAGTTGAAGAAAAGCGTCGTGGACTTCGAAGGATATCCGAAAACCACCCCAGTTTCATGGCTTTACAATATCCACTTTTATTTCCATATGGAGAAGATGGCTTTAGAATTGACATCCCACACCGAGATGCAGAGTCAACAACGCGTAAGAAAGAAAAACAGTCACATTGCGCGAATATTATGCTTTCCGCTTGATGGAAAGATTAAATGAGGCTCGCACACTCATTCTTTGTGGGAGTTTGCGCCAACAATTCATTGTGGATGCATTCACATGCATGCAAGAAGTGAGATTAGATTATTTTCGTCATAACCAGCAAACAATAAGAAAAGAACTGTTGTGCGGATTGACCGATGCTGTTTCGCGAGGGGACACATCTCCTGCTTCAATAGGACAACGAGTTTTCCTACCGTCCTCTTTCACTACTGGACCTAGATACATGGTGGAGAACTACCATGATGCAATGGCCATTTGCCGATGGGCTGGGCCACCGGATCTATTCATAACGTTTACTTGCAATCCAAAGTGGCAAGAAATTACCGAATTCTTAGCAGACATACTAGGTCAAGGTTCAGAAGGCCGACCAGATGTTGTGGTTCGAGTATTTAAACTCAAGTTAGATGAATTAATACGTGATTTGACTACAAGAGAACACTTTGGGCAGACAATAGAAGGTAGTACCTTAACCTAAATTCTGAGTACAAAAATAGTACACAGAAAAATAAGAAACTAACATTTTGTTTTACCAATGCAGTGGTATATACCATTGAATTTCAGAAAAGGGGACTACCACATGCGCACATCCTATTATTCTTGCATCCGGATGATAAGCCACAAAGTCCAGAAGACATTGATAGGATTATTTCAGCAGAACTACTGGACAAAGATCATGACTTGATTGGTTACGAAATTGTCGTCTAATCGATGATGCATGGACCCTGTGGGACAATGAATCAAAACTCTCGATGCATGCAAAATGGAAAGTGATCAAAACACTATCCAAAGGATTTTCAAGGAGAAACAATGCTAAATGATGAGGGCTACCCTATTTACAGAAGACGAGATAATGGCAGAACAACAACAAAAAATGGACAGATATTGGATAACAGATTTGTCATACCTTATAACATCGACCTGGTGGTCAAATATCAAGCCCACATAAATGTTGAATACTGCAACAAAGATAGGTCACTGAAATACCTATTCAAGTACATGAACAAAGGACCAGACATGGCTCTTGCAAGAATTGAGCAGACTAGAGGGGAAAATGAAGGGTCTCACACTCAAACACCAGGGGATAAAGTAGTAGATGAGATAGAGAATTATCTAAAATGTAGATATATGTCTGCCTCTGAAGCTTGCTGGTGAATATTTGCATTCATCATCCAATACAAGGATCCCCTAGTACAAAGACTTACGTTCCACCTAGAAAATCAACAACATGTGCTTTTTCAAGACCATGAGCACCTAGATGCTGTCCTGGAAAGAGTGGGGCAGAAGAAAACAACATTGACAGAGTGGATGACTGCTAATAAATTGTACGCAGAAGCACATGACCTGACATATGTAGACTTCCCTACAGAGTGGAGGTGGTTGAGTGATGAGAGAAAAGAGCAAAAAACAAAGATAGGGACGAGCATTGGAAGGATTTACTTTGCCCACCCAGCGTTCGGTGAGAAGTATTATTTAAGGTTGTTGCTTAATATTGTCAAAGGTGCAACATGCTTTGAAGACATCAAGACAGTTGGTGGAATTATACATCCAACATACAAGGCAGCATGCCATGCACTTGGACTTCTAATTGGAGATAATGAATGGCATGAGTGTTTACATGAAGCAGTTATATGGGCTACTAGCACACAATTACGAAACCTCTTTGCTACAATACTACTGTTTTGTGAGGTTTCAGACCCAAAATACTTGTGGGAAAAGCATTGGGAAGCCTTATCGGATGATACAACTCACAGACAACGACAAAGACTTGGTATTGCAAACCTGAGTCTTACTAAAGAGCAACTTCAAAACTACGCTCTATATGAGATCGAAAAACTCTTAAATATAGAGAATAGAAGCCTCATTGATTACCACGGAATACCGCTACCAGATGCAACTTTACTACAAGACTCTGGAAACCGGATGGTATTAGAAGAGCAAAACTACGACACCCAATCGTTGGCTCGCAATGCATGTGACTTAGAGAATGGATTGAATGCTGAACAAAGAAATGTTTATGATAACATCCTTGAAGCGGTGTACCATAACACAGGGAAACTCTCCTTTGTTTATGGTAGTGGAGGAAGTGGAAAGACTTATTTATGGAAAGCTTTAATATCGAAGCTTCGGTCAGAAGAACACATAGTCCTCGCAGTGGCATCGTTAGGAATATCAGCACTACTTCTACCTTTAGGGAGAACCGCACATTCTAGGTTCAAGATCCCTATGAATTTAAATGAGAATTCTTGTTGTAGCATTGAACAAGGGTCTGACCTTGCTGAGTTAATCCACAAAACTAAGCTAATAATATGGGATGAGGCACCAATGGTCCATAGATATGCATTTGAAGCAGTAGATCGCACCTTGAGAGATATAATGCAACTCTACAGCAAAGGATAAATTTTTTGGTGGAAAAACTGTTGTATTAGGAGGCGATGTTCGATAGATACTACCTGTTGTTCCAAAAGGGGGACGAGTAGACATTGTAGATGCATCTGTCAGCAAATCAAACACCATTTGGCCACAATGTATTATACACTGAAGACAAATATGCGGCTACGTCATTCAGACAACATACATGACCTGGTAGCTTTCAGCAAATGGGTATTAGACATAGGAAATGGCCAAATAATAGCAACAACAAAAGAAGGTGAGGATGAACCAATGTGGATAGATATTCCAAGTGACTTATTAATAAATGGAGGAGCTGATCCAATAGTAACATTGGTGGAGGAAGTTTACCCTGAAATCCTTGATAAGCACATGGACTCGAGATATCTCCAACAACGGGCCATACTAGCTACAAAAAATGAAACAGTCGACAAGATAAATGGACATATCTTAGAAATTATTCAAGGAGAATAGAGGATCTACAAGAGTGCAGACAGAATATGCCCAGCTACTAGAGGTGGGAGAAATGTGGAGTCATTGTACCCTACAGAATTCCTAAACACCTTGCAGTTCCCGGGCGTACCAAACCAAGAAATACATCTTAAGGTAGGGTGCCCAATACTGTTATTGAGGAACATCAGCCAAAGAGATGGCTTATGTAATGGTACACGGCTTATTGTAACCAGATTACAAAATCGAGTGATTGAAGCACGGATTGTAACTGGAACAAATGCAGGAGACCTGGTTTGCATACCGCGTGTGGAGATGTCTCAATTATATACAAAATGGCCATTCATCCTACAACGTCGGCAGTTCCTAGTCAAGGTTTGCTTCGCAATGACAATCAACAAAAGCCAAGGGAAAACTTTCGATCATGTTGGAATATACTTACCAGAACCAGTCTTCATCCATGGGCAACTTTATGTGGTTGTCTCAAGAGTCACCACAAGAAAGGGACTCAAAATCTGCATCCCTAACATACAATGTGATGAGACCCACATTGGAAAAACAAAAAAATGTCGTGTACAAAGAAATTTTTAATGATCTTTAGCTTCAGGAAAAATGTATCTGTTAGACATAGGTTTAACAGTAAGCCTTGACTTATCAACCGTTAATAAAATCCTATACATTCCATAAAGTTTATTTCCTGTTTATTATTATTCAAAATTTAATAATATAGTACATGTTTCTTTCCAAGCTAAAAGCAAGACAGCTTTGATAATATTGGAAAGACAATTTATTTTGATTGAGCAAAAATATTATTGGTACTACTCTAAGTTGTTTAAAGAAATGTTCATGATTAGTTAATTGAGTGAGGTGTTTAAACTGTACCTTGAGTAATTTTATTTAAATTAGTTTTATCTATTATTGATAAAGTTGGGGTAATTTGTAAGTTGGAGTAATTTAATTTCAATTAGTTTATTTTCTGTTTATTATTATTCAAAATTTTATAATATTGTACATGTTTCTTACCATTAATTCAAACAAACTTATGTTCAGGTACTCTGTGCGAAAATGGCGAAAGCGCAAAACATTGCTAAACTGAAGAACACATTAAAGGCTGGCCCTTTGATAACTCGAGTGATAAGGACATGGGATGTAGTATACAAATTCAATGACCAGCCCACTTCTTTTGTTATACTTCTCTTGGACAAAGAGGTAAAAAAAAATATTTAGTTAAAAATGTCAGCTACATTACCTATATAAAAAAAAATAAATAAAAAAAAAACCAACCTAATATCTACAAAAATGTAGGGAGGACTTATACAGGCCACTATAAGGAAGGACTTGCTGAAATCTTACAAGGAGGAAATTATAGAAGGAAAAATACACACCTTCTATAATTTTGAAGTAGCTAAGAACAACAAGCTTCACTGCCCAATTAAAAAGGACCAGATCATAAAATTTACACCTTTCACTGTTGTGGTACAAGAAGAAGAAAGTGCAGCTGAAATTCAGATGCACAGCTTTCAAATACACCCTCTTGATCGTTTGCAAGAACCAAATAAAAAGACGGGCTACGCCATAGGTTGGCTACCTTAAATTCAGTGGATTAAACTTACATTCAAAGAAATGCCATACAACATCTACAATAAATAGTTTCCTACTCTTAATCCTTGGATAATATTATCATCTAATCATTTTAATCTGTGTTTTAAATATCAAAAACAAAATTACAGATGTTGTTGGTCTGCTAACTGGAGTTGAAGAGAAGACATGGGTCAATGTTGGCCAATAAAAAACTCCATTAAGAAGGATACACATTGAAGACCAATGGTAAGAAAAAACAATACTTACAAAAAAAAATGCCAAATGTATGTCAGTCTAATAAACTACACGCATAAAACCATGCAGCAATGTCAAGGTCGTGGTAACTTTATGGGGAGCCAAAGCTGACTTAATAAGCACTGAGATAACAGAAGATCAAGACTCCTGCAAAATACTCCTCATCACCTCTACAGAAGTCACCATGTACCAAGGTAAGAACACAACAAAAATCAAAAACACAAGTCCAAAATCTACACTTCAAATAAAACATTCATACCGCTCTACCATAATAACATCATTTCAAACATGCACCATGCAGGAAACTACCGGTTGAGCTCAACCCATGCTACAAAGATACACATTAACTTGCCAATTCCTGAAGTGGAAAGTTTCAAGCAAGGGTAAGCAACTTTTACAGTGATATAAATATAGCAAATTCAAAAAACCAGAATCTAAACACAAAATATCAAACTACAGGGCTAACATGGTAGAGCCAAAAACACCCATAAAACAATTACAGGCGAAACCACATGAACCAGTTGAGGAAGCCATGTTTAAAAACAGAAAAAAAAATTGAAGAGATTCTACAGTTGGATCCACAATCCAAGGTAAGCACCAATCGATTTTACCATACATCTATTCTTCACGCATCAAACATTTCCGAATAACCACTAATTTCCTTATGGCTATGTTATGAAGCATAACATAATCCAACTTTATTTTTTGCATACATGTTAAAAAAAACGTCACACATCACAACTCAAGGCATGATAGTTTTGCAGCATAAATTCAATGTTGACTATGCATGTATGCTTATCATCAATATTATTGCAGGAGATGTTTACTTGCAATGCAACAGTAACAAGCATTCACGCTGACAAAAAATGGCATTACAACTCTTGTGCTGCATGTAAGAAAAAGATAGATGAGACTTTTTACTGCTCAAACTACGATGATATAGTCAAATACCCAAAAACAAGGTACAATAGAATACCAACTACACACTAATTAATAAGGAAAAAAAAAAGAAAAAATATTCTTGCATTTTAGCCACCAACAAACTCGCAGGTACCTCTTAACTATTGACATAGACGACGGAAGTGCATGTATTCCAATGGCTTTGTTCGACAAGGAGGCTGAAAAAATTGTTGGAAGTCCAGTCCACAAATTAATGGAACTCGAGAAAAAGGTACAACTCTTACAAATTACTAACGACAACTACTATATAATGCCTTTAAACTAAAATGACCATATACACAATGTAGGAAAACGGCAAAGAAAAGGTGCTGCAATGATTGGAGCATTGCGTTGGCAAACAATTCGTTTTCAAGGTCAAGCTAAGCACAACAAGTAACAAAATTGAACTCATTTTCCAAAAGACATACGACATCAACTACAAATTAGAAAAGGCTTACCAAGAGCAACAACATCAAAAACCAGGTCTGTTGAAACATATTTACACATGACATTGCCTAAATCTAATACCTACACACTAATAAAATAACTACAATTTGCAGGAAGACATCACACACCAAGCGGGACAAGTTGAGGATGACAACACGGGAATTACTAAAACCCAAACAACTCCAAAAAAGAGGAATCGAGATGAGATGTAAGTCAAACATCTCAACACAATGAATAACAATTACTGAAAAATGACCCACGATAACAAGGAACACGTAATCTTTGAAATACAGGGAGAACGAGAAAGAAGATGGAGCATCAACAACCCAAACAGTTGTAGCAGCTGAATAGTGAATGGAACACAAAAATGCCCAGAAAAAACAACAAGCGCAGAATGGAAGAAAAATTAGAGGAGCATAATCAACAACTTGCAAAGAATGGAGCATTACATATTGTCTTCCAATACTCTGTGTTCAAAAGATAATCTTTAGCAAATTTAACGACCAAAAATAATAATGCTATTTCAATTTGGTAGAAAGAAGCTTTTTAAATAAATCAAAACATATGCTATACAAAAAAATTATTATTTACCAATACTTTATGTTCGAAAGATAATCTTTAGCAACTTTGAAAATCAAAAAAATTGACGACCAAGCCATTTGCAAGAACAAAAAAAAAATATTAAAAAAACAAACAAAACCAAACCAATCACTATTGTCTTCCAACACTATCTGGCCGAACAATATCTGTAACAAATTTGGAATACACAACACCATAATGGACTAACCAATTGCTCAATAAAAAAACAAAAGCAAAGCAGTAACCCGAGGCATCGCCTGGTGTAGGGAATAATTTCAAGCCTTAAAAATCCCACTAGCTCGAACCCCATTGTGATCATACACTAAAGTACGGTGGCGTCCAAAAGGGAAGAAGATAGAGCAAAAGAGTCGCCAACAAGTTTTTAAGGAACTTGTAAACCGTTCACGAGGTGAAGGTTACACCCCCTTAACGATCCAAGAGATCGTCAACTCCATAAGGTCATGAACCAAATAAGGGTCCGGGGATGATGGTACAAATCCAACCTAAAAGAGATTGAACCTTCCCTAATAATAGGCCTCTACTTTATTCTTCTCGTATTCATGTGCGCTTTCTGACTAACATACAATCAATAGGATTAACCCTAAACCTGTTTAATCTATGTTGGTTGAATTAAATGCACAAATAAACTATTATTGACAATCACTTGAATTATAATCACAATTAACCTAATAAGATTATTAACTATCTTATTAAGCGTGATTACAAGTACAAATTCCCTTTAAACATGCATCAAAGGTGTGATCAAGCAATAAAGAATAAATAATACATATCAAGCAACATAATCAATCAATAATCAACATCATTAATAAGAATAATATCAATCATAAATAATGATAATCATAATCATGTTAAAGCATAGCAAGATCCTAGGCATGATACTAACAAGATTAATAACAAACCCTAGCATGTCACTAAGAGATAAAAATCAAATCTTTAACCCTAACATGATACTAACAATCATAAATATTAGGAAGAGCATAAAAGCATCATACTTTTAATCATACTTAATATTAAAGTTACCCTAGACATGGTACTAGGAATCAAAATAACAATCTAAGTATGATTTCTACATTATAATATCAATTAAACCATTAAAGTACTTACTTGGATGCCTCGTACCTCTTTCTAATAACAAAATACACACGTTAGTAACTTCAAGGAAAATAATAAACAACAATTAAATTAAATAATTGAAAGAGAGA